AAAAAAAAAAAAAGAAAATCAAAAATAGCAGCGAGACACACAGATAAACAATAAATAAACTTTCAATAAACACAAAGTGTTTGTTTGTTTGATTACATTTTTGAGAATGTAAAAAAGAAATGAACGATTAGAGGAATAAAAGAAATTATTTCTGGAAGAATTAAGAAGTTTTAATTAAATATAAATGCGCTCTTAGATCATCGCTATTATTGTATTCTCTTTTTCCGCAAAGGTTCTCCCCCATTAAAATTTAAATTAAAACTCAAGATTCTTAAATAATATCTCGTACATATTTCCATCCGACTCGTCGTAACACCCTGAATGTATAATGTTTCTCGCGCGTGTCGACGAAAGTACGATTCTAATTTTAGCTTGGTGGGTTCGCCAGCATGTGAACGCCTCTCTCTCCCTCCGGTCGTAAAAAAAAAAAAATTTAATTAAACAAAAAAAAATGCCTCGCTTAGGGGAGCCACGTAAGCACTTGGTTAATTAAGATACCGATCGCGGTCCCGTTATAACGCACTTGCGTATGTGCGTGCAGGGGGCGAGAGAGGCGATTCCCGCGGCTCGCGCGAATAAGTTAATAACACTCGCCGGGTGAAAATGGCGCATGATTTAACTTGCAGCTGGTCACTCCTGCGCCGGGAGGGAAGCCGAAAGTGATAGGGAGACGCGAGATCGCCGTCGTTATGCAAACGGCGAAAACGGTCGCCATGTGTGGAACGCACGCACATATGAACCGCGGCAATGTCATCGCGAATTACTTACGTAAGTATTTCTCGTCTTACGCTTCAATTACACCAAATTCTCTGCGCGCGCATACCTCGAGCGATCTTTGTAAAATTACTTCACCGCGTTCACACTTCGGTTTCACTTTCTACGATGTTCCAAAGTCAAAGGATCGTCTCCGCGACTTTTGACTTTCTAATTAACAAAAAACTTACTCTCGCGATCTCCTTTCATAATGAACAACATACTTGGGTGTGTATTCGTCGGTAAGAGAGTTAGCTCTCAGCTGTCCAAATAATCAAATTCTCAGTTGGTGGACTTGAATTAATTAATTACTTGATGAAAGAGATACGTGGACCACTTGACGATGAGATAAAATCTACGCGATATCTTCCACACGTTGAACAGGAATCATTAATTACATTATCCGTCTCTCAAGAAGCGGAGGCGCGCGAGGATGCTTGGGGGTCTCTTTCACGCGCGGGGAGATTCCGGCGAGAGGCGCGACCCGCGCGGAATTCCTCCTCGCGCGCGCGAGGGATGGTCCGAGAGCGATGGTACGAACGGAGGCGCAGGTGAGAGGACCCGGCGAGAGAAGAAGAAAGGTAAAAGATCCCACGACCAGCAGCGTCGGGCGATCCCTACCGCGCGCCGGCCGGCGAGGAGGACGCAACGGGCTCCGATCGAGAGGAAGAGCTCGCCGAGAGCGAGCTGAGTCGAGTCGTGGAGATCGCGCCGAAGGTGCGCAGCGCATCCGTCGCACAGTTTTTTTTTTTTCACGTTCGGCAAACACAATTGGGGACTTCGAAAGTCCGCCGCGCGCGCCTGCCCATGTGACACACACTCTGCAAGATGCCGGGAATCAGTCTGCGTACTCTGTGTAAGTGTCGCATCGGTTTTTTTTTTTTTTTTTTTTTTTTTTTTTAACGCGCACGAGGTGTCGACGAGGGATGCTCATCGTATCCGCGTGACGGAACGCGAGTTCGAAAGAACGAGTCTCGAGAAAATCAAAGAGAGAAGAAGAACCCTCGGTTCTCCGTGACTGTTGTCACGCCAATCGTATCAAGTGTCAGTGATCCCTCGCCTCTTTTGTTGCTTGTTTATTTTGACCATGTGCAGGTTTCTATAACCGCAGGCAGTTAAAAAAAAAACAGCGAGCTTGTATACACGTATGTTAATCAAAATCGATTTGAATAAATTTCTTTACGGCATACGCCTAGAAATTAGAATAGTGGAATCGGCAATGATGAGGTAACGAAAGCGCGAAGGATCGTGAGTTAGTCGCCACGGTGGGAAATCGATGACTCGACGTCGGGATGGGTCACGAATCCGCGAAACACTCGCCGGCAATCGAGGTCAGCTGATGTGAAATTGTGACATAACACTTGATGTTCATTGAAAAAAAAAAAAAAAAAACAGTTTGCTCAAAAGTAGTTTTTATTTTTTTTTTTTTATTCTCTCACGGCTCTCATACTATTTATTCACGGAGACTTTTCAATGTTTGCGATTTTCTCTTTCTCTATCCGTAATATTGGCGTTACGTTATATAACGTGCAATTTCTCGGCGGTCTCGCACGTTCTCGCAGTAGCCAAGCTCGATCAATCAACGACGCGCGCGATCGAATTGTAATTGAGGGAATCACTTTTCTGTCTTTGCTGCCACGGTCCATTCATGCGAACTCGAGACCACAGCGTATGCAATGCAAAATCAGCGTTGAAATAATATACGCGCTTACATAAATAAAATCATTTTGCGACAGATTATTATTACATCTCTAACCGTCATCTGAATACTCCGTAGTAAGTGCTTTTTGTGGGATTTCGACAACCCGACACACGTCTGAGAGTAATTTATAAACGTGCCGTGTAAATTGCAGCAATTACGGAGAACAACTTTATTACTTGCACGTGGAACGAATCGGCTCTTTAATTTGATACTGTTGAACGTGGTTTTTTTTTTATATTATGCCTATAATATTGAATTGTAAATTAACTAGCTATCCCTGAAAATTTAACACTAAAGATTATGCAAATTTGTTTTGTTTTAAAATTATATTGCATTCCTACTAAGATACGTCAAGTTTATATTTAATTCTGATTATGTATTTTTAATTTGTTTTTATAATAAAAATAGTTATTACTTTAATAAACAATTAACTAAAAAACAAGAGCTTATAAAGAAAATGTAAAAACAAAATAAATCTGACAGCTATAATTCACTAGTGAATTAATTTGTTATAAAATTAAATTTATACTTGTAAATGTGTGTAACTTTTTGATCATTTTTTAATAATAAAATGATTTTAACTTAAAAAAAATTTTTTAACGCGATAAAAAAATCGACTGTATTTATTTATATTTTGGATTATTCAAATTCAAAACATTTTGAAATAGAAAAAACGTCTCAGTGATGCGAAAAATTTGTTTGACATTTAATAAAGTGAGGTACTGCAAAATCAAATTAGTCTTGGAACACTTACGGTAGCACGAGGATGTTAAAACAGTGCGGCGTTGTGTTCGTGAGGACACTTTCGCCACCGGAAATTGACGGCGCTAATTACTCGCGTCTTGTTCTGCTGCAACCACAAACTCGACATTTTCTCTATTAACAGAGAGAAGATTCTTTGCGTACATAACTTCTTGAGTCATCTTGATCATTAATTTCGCGCGATGAGTCAGGCAAAAAAGAATTCACGGCCGCGATTCTTCGCAAATTGAGCGATTCGTGGCTTCGACTAAGTGTTTGCGCTCTATCACGACCACCGGTCTTTTGGTGCGCTCATTCTTTATGGCCTTTTAAATTCTTTTAATGCCGCATCGATGATGCTGAAATGGCAGCGACAATGAAAGAACACGTGTGCCCGAGAACATCACTTCGCAGTGGATAGATATTGCTGACCTATCGGCCTTTCGAAAGATTTCACGTACTGCCGACTATTGTGAATAACAACAATGAAGTTGCAAGCATTGAGTTCTCGACGGTCTAATAGCAGTTAATAACGCAACCGGGCGGTAGTACTTGAGATTTGAGTATCTCAAACTGTTTCGCAAATTGTTGACAAAGAAAATCTGTGGTTTAGCAAACACATTTTTAGAAAAGATACAATTGCGCTTGACAACAAACGTCTTAATTATTTTGACAATTGTTTATTTTACATAAAAAATGCACATCGTAATTTTGTGAATGAAAAAACACGTGCATACCGCATTCGAGAAATATGCAAATTTCATCTCGTCATCATCATCGTTCTACAAGTGATCGGCTTTCGAATCATATTTTATTTTATAATATGTTACATAATTCTCGTAATCGTATTATATAATGCAATAATAATTATCTTAAGCCGCGTGTGTCTCGAAATGTCACTTAATGAACGCATCGACCGAAAGGAAAAAATAATCTTGCCGAATCGCGAAAAACGTGAGAGAGCTCTCTCGTGATTACGATAATAACACTTGAATGAACTTCAACATCAATCATTCTAAGAGAATTTTGAACTCGATGCGCCAAGCGGAGAGAGAGAAAGAGAGAGAGAAAGTTTAAGGTTTATCGTGTTAAATGAAAGACTCTTCGGAGATTCTTCTCTACGGAGAATCTACTGCGGAGTCGTGACGACGATGATGATCGTTCATGGTCAATCGCAAATCGAGAGCTGCGTTGCTAAATCAATTGTGGAACGAATTTTCAAACGACCTCAAAGGCAGCAAAACCCGCGGAGATGATCTGTCCCAAGTGACCTTTCACGCTACACTCGTTCGATTGCGAAATCGAAATCGAGCAATATCTAACGATTGCGCTTCTCGAGGATTACAAGTCGTGGAGTCACGCGGAGACTCGCAGACTCGTTGTCACCAATTTGGTTTTTAACGTTTTTCTCAATACATATGCATACACACACACACACACACATTTGACCAGCCCAGTGATCCCGTAGGATTACGTTCCAAAATTCCTTTCCTCCTCACCTTGGTAACAAAAAACTATAGTACACGTGACGCATTTTAGAATTGGATTTTTTCAGACCGGTTCTCTTCAGTCAGGTTTATTGATTGAAAAGCGAACTGAATCGGACCTTGAATAATTAAGCAACTTAGGATAATTTCTTGTAAAACTTCTTGTAGTTCTTTCACATCCCGCTAGTTAATAATTGGACTTATATGACAGTTGTGTTAAAGTATTTGTAGTTTTTTTACGTTTTGTTTGGTACTTTGCAACTACTTACAAATGCAAACTACTACTTTTACTTCGTAACTACTTTCAATTGAAATCGCGATATCGTAAATAAATAATTCATTACTTAATAAATAACTAGAAAAAAGAAATTATAATTGAATATTAAACAACTCGCGTTTTGCAACGTGTTTTAACGAAATAATACAAGAAACAATAAGAAATTGTTGACTCGGTCAAAAACATTTAGAGAAAAAATTGCAAGAGTTTTAATTTTTAATTAATATAACGATCGCATAATCTGAAATAATCATTCGGAATAGTCTGAAATAATCATAGCGAATAATCTAAGGGCACTGTTCTTCGCGCGAGCAGGTTTCGTGACGGCGGTCTTGTGCAACGTTCAGCAGAGTCTTGAACATGAAATTCCGAGGAGGAGCTTCCTGTCACGCAGAGCGATCGACGGAACTAGAGGACGGTACGTTCACGCTGACCCTAAACGATATCTTCCGCACAATCGATGATGCGCGATTAATTAAACCGCTCGCTTTTGCAGGAAGTACTTCGATCCGAACGAGGACGGCGCATTCGATAGTTACGGATCCGCCGGCGGTCAATACGATCCGTACGAGCACGTGACGGGTGAGTAACGACAGTAGCCATTCATCACTCTCGATTGATGATATTTTTATCCTTGAACAATCTTTGAATTTACAACACCTTTAGATTTTGCAGCCTTGTAATATTTTATCACACTTTCGAAAAGTGTGATTTTTAACATTCTTTAATTTATGGATACTTTTGTCCTTTTAACTTTGTAATTGTCTACGTTTATGGCGAATTTTAATATAAGCACAAGTTTTATAACTCTTCGACTAAAATAGACACTGAATTATTCACTTTCGCACATTTCGTAATTATTTTTCCTTCTTATGAGATACGTATTATATTCTCGCAGGACAATTATTTTTTGCATTTAATCCTACGCGTAATGACGAAAGAAAAATCTATGTCGCGATGTCGATAATTACAAGACACTTCTGTGATGACATACACACACACACACATACACATAGATGGTCGACGGTTTTGTAAAAATTGATTTTATATTTCAATTTATCTCTCCCCAGAGTGTAAAAATTATTATTCCCGTTATCTATTTCAGAAAGAGGCACTGAAAATGTCTCGTTAATTTCCATCTCGTTAACACCAATGCGTATAAGTAAATAAATAATAATTTGTGTAAGAAGATTGTCATTCGCGTGAAAGGTGTATACGACGTTTATGAAAAAAAACGTTAACTGGCGAATAGGTCATGCAAAATCTTCGTCGATTATGTACGTGGATATAGCAAATTGCAGAAGTTATTTGCGATAAGTGGCGAGGTCTTTAAATATCATAGATCACAGATTACGGCCTATTTTCTGCGACCTTGATCGACGCTCGATGATCTATGAAACTTGATGCACATGCTTGACAACTAATTTTTTAACATGTTTTGCGTCGCCTAAATAATTGTAATTATTTATTGAATTATTAACCATTAAATATACACAATTATTTATTACCAATAGTAAAAACTTGAGAGGAAAATAAAAAATTAATTATATATAATTATATATATTTATTTTAAATATTAATTAAATTTATCTATTTGTTACATTTTAATTATTGTATGTAACTTTCGCAAATTTTATTATAAAGTTTTATCATAAACTAAAAAAGATAAATTTATCAAAGTCTTTGTACAAAGTTTACGAAGAATTTATCGATTTATGCGAGATGTATGCAACAAATGTCACTTTTTCGCGATTACAAATTGTAAAAATTGTGAAAATACAAATATAAACAGATTAAATCAAAGTATTTGCACAAAATTTATGAAGAATTTATCAATGTATGTAAAATGTATGCAAAAAAACAAATGCCACTTTTTTGCGATTGCAAATTGTAAGAATAGAAAAACAGTCTATATCAAGATTTCCTAGACCACTCTTTGATCGAATTAGAAACAACTGTAGACGTTATGTTTGATCGGAATTAGAGACAGCTTGTAGATGTTATGTTTGATTGACGTAAAAGGATGGATGCGTTTGTACTTTGTTTTTTTTTTTTTTCAGATCTATCTGACATTAGGAAAAATGTGCCGGGTGAGCCAGGCGTCGATTATCCCGCCTACACGACATTACCTCAGACGGGATTCACGTGTGAAGGACGTTCACGTGGTAAGCACACGAATAAATTACCCATTCAGCCCGTCACATGCATCTTCAACGTGCACTGTAATATACCTATATGATACTGAGATCGTTCGCTTGGGTCACGTGTGAAAGTGATTAACGTAACATGCAAACTTTATTATGACATTAAATCTTGATAGATTTCTGATTGCAAGTGAGATGCGTTGCTAAATTGAGAAACTGATATAGGTGTGTACCATTAAATTATTCTATTGTAATCTTATTTTGGATAATCAATCGTTTTGCGTGAAATAAGATTTCGTTTTCTAAAATCACTTGACGTCGGAGCTTGTTATTATCGATTTCTCAATCAGTCGGGCAAACACACCGAAGATCATTATTCTTCCGATTGTCATTATCGGTAATGACAACCGTAGTGAACACTTAATTCGATTTAATTCTCAACGCTATATTATGCCATCAATGTTCACCGACTCGCCTCTGACTGTAAATATTAGATAATCCGATGAGGAAAGATGGAGTGCGAAAAGTACATCGCACCGACGTGATACTATGCGTAATTATGTAAGAAACTGCGAAAAAATCTACGACAAAAAATCAAGAAGTATATCTGATACCTAATTTTTATAAATATTCACTTTTCTTTTCTGATTTTTTTAAAAAATTTTTGAATTTTTTGCAAGAACTTTTTTTTCCAACACGTACATAAAAATCTCTAGGAAATGTAATGTGTGTGTAACACGGTTTTTCTTCTATCGAAAAATTCGGTTCTTCTGTACTAAAAAATGTTTAAACACTTAGAAAAAAGTTCAAATCAATTTTTGTCGACTACATGTTGCGTAATTATGTAATAGAAATTAATTGTTTACAATATTTAGTTTAGTACGCTAAGTAAGTAAACACAAAGTAACAGTAACGTAACATTAATGTTATAATTTCTCACTCAACAATTAATTGCTACGTACAAGGCATCGCACTTACATTGTTGAGTGGGAAATTTATAACATTAATGTTACTGTTACTTTGTAACATTAATGTTACTGTTACTTTGTGTTTACTAGTAGTTTTGTTAATACTAATAAAAATTTCAAGAACCTTTTCCTATACTTTCGATGCCACAAAAATCTTTTATCTCATTAAAACAGAATAATTTACGAACGTGCATAAATTCATTGATTTATACAACAAATGTACGCAACTTTAAATCTCCAATAAATCTAAATAATATAAGTGTCATAAAGTATCCGTTTTCCAATTGCTCAATAGGCTACTACGCTGACGAAGCAGCCGGCTGTCAGGTATTCCACGTGTGCCACGATGTTTTAGTATCTTCCTTCTTGTGCCCAATCGGCTCGACTTTTAGCCAGAAGCTGCTGACGTGCGACTGGTGGACCAAAGTGGACTGTTCCGCCACCAACAGATATCTCGAAGTGAATCGCAACAATTATCAGATCGACGACGACGAGATGATTCGCAACGCGTACGCGATGATCAGCCTGCAATCCTCCGCCGAAGACGTTACCAAGGACGGTCTGGTGGATCCCGACAGCGGCGCCAGGATCATCGATTACTCCGTGCTCGGCGGCGGAAGGACTGTGACAAGTTACACGCCCGTATCGTTCCGCAGAATCACGGATTATCCCGCTGTGGACACGACCGGGAACGATCTGCCGAGCGGTTTCGAAGACTATCCCAATCAGGACAACCGACAGATCCTCAACTACAATCGATTCCAGCAGAAGAGCACGAATCCCACGTATCAAAACAAATTTCATCTCGAAGGCAAAGGACGGTCACCTTATCACGCAGCTGCAATTATCAGACAAAATTATCAGGACCAATCGAGAAGCAACGAACAGTTTCGAGATGATTATCGTGGACCCGACGGGTTCACCAATCAGCTGCAGACGTCTTACGCGCCCACCGTGCCCACTGTCACCACCACCACCAGAAGATTTTACTCGCCCACGGTACCGACGACTTATCGACCTTCAACTTTGGCCTACAGCAAGCTGGATCTGATCATGGATAGTTCCGATCATCTCTACGCGCACAGCAAGAACCCGGCGACTCCACCTACGACTTCTCATCATCGGGACGACGATGAGAAAAATGCTGATTTGAGAGAGAGCGAAACGAGACACGACGGTCCGAGGACATCGGAGAACGTTGGAGATAATCAAAGTGACGACGTTGCTCGATCCAAGAACGACGAAGTGCGTCTCCTCAACTTCGAGGAGAAAAAGTCGGAAACGAGTTTTAGAATCAATCTGACCGCGATCGAAGACGAGGAGGATGAGGTGTTCAGACAACAGAACGACAGACCGGTAATTAGAAATGATTACGAAGAAAATCTGGAAGACATCGAGACGGGAGACAGCATCGGAATTGCTCGGGCGCTGAACGATCCCGACAGGATCGGTGTACAGAATCAAAATCCCGTGGAGGAAACGTTCAAGGACGAACGAAAAAAACGTCCGAGCAGTTCGTCGCAGGCGCACACAATTCGTTCTTCAGGATCGTCTTCTGTAGATAATTCGTCGCAAACTTTGACGAATATCTTCAATGAAACGAGCGACGATCAGTCGACGGAAGATTACGAAGACGTTACAAGCTCGACGACGAGAATTTACGAAGAAACAGGGTTCACGACGCGCTTCGGCGTTAGAACGACTCCGTTGCTGAGGAACTGGCATCAGAAGGACGTCGATACCGTGCAAGCCTCGACATTTTCCGTAACTGCGAAACCTACGACAATCGAAAGCAACGTTGACGAAGTTGATCGCTCATCGTCTAACGGCAATCAGACAAGCGAGGATCAAAATTCGTCATTGAACAAACCAATCTCTAGCTTAAACGACGAGTCCGCGCCCAGAATACATCTCAATTTCGAAGTTCCTCAACCGTCTCAGTTCTTGAGGCCTCCGGCGAAAAGTTTTCTGATCAACATTCCGGAAGAAGAGACGCGTTACGCAACGACCGATCAGAATTCCAAAACTACTTGGGGTGAAAATTTTGAAATAACTACGGAACTCCCGCAATTTTCCGTCACATCCGTTGAAAACATTCAAGATCGATCGCCGGTATACAACGCGAACGTTCAAGAACAATCGTTATTTGATTACGCGAACGACAAGTTGTTGTCAGAAACAACGAATTTAGATGTTAATCCAATCACGCAAGCGACTCCTAAAGTATCCACGCCCATTCCGTGGCTGGTTTCTTCTTCGTGGCAGGATCGATCGATCGTCGATTCTCCCGCTACAGACATCGTTCCGCCGTTTGCGAATCAAAATGATGGTTTCGACGACCTTCTCGTCCCGCCGAACGAAGAGTCGGCGCGAGTCGATCAGACAGAACGCGCGGATGCGCAAATTATTCAGCGAAATTCTTCGACAACTTCGAGGAAGACGATCAACACCGAAGAACCGATTTTGATTCGATACGAGATGGGATTCCACTTGAGCATCAGAGATGCGATCAAGGCTCAGGAAGAAGCGAGAAGAACGGCTCTGAGAGCAATGTGCGAATCTTCGGCGTTCGACAAGCAAAACAGATCCTGCGAAACGAGTTCCGTTGCTCCCAAAACAAATTCCGCCGTTGGGAGTTCAACGGCGAGCGTGGAAGAAAAGACCGTCTCGATCGGTACCAAAGCGACTACGAGATTTCCGGAACAACTGACTTTTTCGGCTAGCTCGAGATTGCCCGAAAAATCGGTAACAATCATTCGTAACGAATTTTCAACTTTCACCACGCCACTTCCGGTTACTGTCGACAGTAACGTCGGCACGGAGAGATCCACGTTGAAGACAATCGCGTCGGGAAACGTGTTGCAATCGAATCGTCAAAATCTGGAAGAGAAAGCGAAAGAGACGGAAAGTACTTCGCTGCGCTCGACCCGTACGGAATCTTTAAAACAGACCAAAGAAACAATTGACAAACACGGTTCACCGTACGAAGTTTCCTTCACGGTTAATCAGAAAGATGAAGATCCGGATCCGACAATCGGTGGTGACGATTTTATTGGCCGACTGATCGCTCAGCAATCGGCTCTCCCTTTGAAGCAACAGCTGAACGACTTCGAGATTGTCAAGTCGATCGAAACGAAGGATGAAATTGTTATTCCGCAAGTACGTCCCACGTTTCCCGACCATACCACCGGTCACGCGTTTCCAGACGGAGAAAACAACAGTGATCCCATCAACGACACGATCTACGAACTACCCAGAGAATCGAACTCGAACGTGAGTATGTTGAGTCTTGTTCAGTTAATGGCGGAATTGTTGAAGCTGGATCGCTTGCCACGACCGTTTTCGGCGAAGGACTTTCACAGCGCGGATCTGAGGGACTCGTTTGATCTGGATCTTGACGAACCGTCACTCGTCACGGCGAATCCACCGTTGGATCGTTCGCAAACAAGAGCGCCATTCGGGAATGCAAATTTCAAACCGTCTAACTTCGATATCTCGAAGACACCCAGAGTTGCCAAATCGAGGACACGACTGAATCAGGACAATCCGTCGTTCGACGCGTCAAGTTCACCGATATCTTTTCTCGACGATACTTCGAACACCGAGATTCCTCTTAGATCGTTTTCTGACGACTCTTCTAAAATAAATTCCAACGCCGCGACCGAACAGAAAACGATTCAATCGAAATCGGAAAACAGAACCATTCGACCGCTCCAGAAAGAGGAGATTCTGGAGCAATTGACAGAGAACTTCGGTCGGCCATTGTATCGCGACGATTCGATTCACAGATCGTTCGTTTTCGATCTGCCGCAAGTGCAGAGAAATTTGGACTTCGAGAGCGGTTTGCCAATAAGCGAGGACAAGCGCGTGAGCGGCGAACCTTCGGAAGAAAGTTCGATATTTTCCACAGAGAGAACACCGACAACGACGACGCAACAGACAATCACGACGACGGAATCCGCGAGGACCGTTGTCGAGACCGAGTTCGTTCCTTCTCTGGGATTCTCCTTCGATACAAACGAGGGTCGCGAGGAATACGTCCAAGCGTTTCTGAAGGGACTGATCGACGAGCACAACGGCGAAGGTGATGAGAAGAATGAATCGAGAAAGGATGTCGACGTCGCGCTGTCACCGGACGAACCATCAAAAACTGACACGTCGAAACTCGAAGGCACGAAGAACGTTTGAGAAATCTTCAAAAAAAAATAATAATAATAATAAGATATCAGACATTTTTGAGACGTCTTTAAGATGACTCGGACGTGTAATTTTCTTTGCCATGTTCGTTACGTATAAAAATCGTAGTTTTCTCTTAAAACAATAAACAAAACAAAAAAATTATTTAGAAGAATTGTAGTTAAAAAAGCTAAAACTTCTCGAGAAAACGCACTTGTAATGTTTTTATGTAACAGTGTCTTGCTCATGTATAGAAGACGGATGGTGTGTATGTGTAAACGGAAGTGTGTGTATTCGATGTGCGTGCAAGAGAACATTACAGCTATTTTTTTGTGTATCTCTATAATCCATGATGTACCATATATATTATTTTTTAAATATAGCTCTATCTCTCGTTATACAAGTTTCTTATCGATCAATAAATATCTGTTTACCCGGTATATCCTATTTCCACGGCGACAGCGTTTATTTACCATGACAACGAGAACGACGTTAAGCTCTGTCGCTATTTCTTATAGCTTAACCAAGTCTGAGTGTCGTGAAAAGTATCGAAAAAAGCGTCGGATTCTAAAAAAAAAAAAAAAACAACGCAGTTTTATCTTTATTCAAAGTTATAAATAAAATCGCATTATTTTCCTGAGAGCGAATTTTAAAAAGAAATACAGTGAAATAATATACGTATATATACGATACACAGATAAAGTGTATCATCGCGTGAAACACGATTTCGTTTATCTCAATTAAAGTAGCGGTTAAAAAGGTTATTTGTTAACAAAACTTATCTTTTCAAGATTGAAATAAGTTGTTTATAAAATTAGCTTCAATAAAATATATATAAGAAATTTAGAACTCTTATCGATAAAATATGGAAAGAGATAATGATAAAAATGAAGGTCGAGAGGAAAGTCCAATCGACGAGGATGATAAAGATACATTTGCGACGGAAAATAATCGGTAAGTATTGCTCACGTATTATAATCGATAACTATCATATTAAACTGTTAAAAGTTATAGATATTTTAAAAATAGTATTTTCTATTGGTAAAATATAAAATTTATCAGACGGCATTGTTTTATTTGAACAGAATAAAATGGATTCGCGAAAGAGTCCTGACGTTTCTCGGACTGCCCGGGCAGAAGCATCTTTTTAATGAACTTATTAACGTAATTAATTTTTTAATTAATTTTTCTCAATATGTACAAGATTTGCAGATTTGATACGAAAGATAACATCAATTAATTTATTAATTAGGCAAATAATCGATATTTTGAGGACAAGTTACTCAATTTTCTCATATTGGATTTATATGAGGTAACGGATATAGAAAAGAAGCTAATTTTCTTCTACAAAACTTACACCAGCGAAGTGTATCATGAAGAAGTTTCAATATGGGAGGAAAGTAAGCCAATCCGTTTTTTTTTCTTTCCTATATTAAAAAAGGCATGTGTACCAAGAAGTGCGCGTTTGGAGTCGAATATATCACACCTATTGTTGTCTCTTTTCCGCGTTGCCGATTGGTTGGTTGGTTGATCGAGTCGAATCGAATCGGCAAGATCGAGAGAGTAAATAATAAAAAGCGATTTTGAGACAGTTCGTCGTATATGTAGAAAAAATTAAAAACGTAACTAAAGTCACGTGACAGGAAAGAGTAGAAAAACAACACGTGAAAATAACGTGACTGTAATTTATATTATATATAACATTAAATAATACATATTATATACATATAATTTATTATATATTTATAATATTATACTTTATATTGTATTATATGTATTATATACATACTACAGAGTAATGTCACTGACCTCGGCCGCGCGGCCTTGGTGGGGGCGGGGTCACTGGCCTCGGCCGCGCGGCCTTGGTGGGGGAGGGGTCACTGACCGCGGTCGCGCGACCGCGGCGGGGTCAATGACCTCGGTCGCGCGACTGCGGTGGAGTCACTGACTTCGGCCGCGCGACCGCGGCGGTGTTACTGACTTCGGTCATGTGATTACGGTATATATATATACGTATACATATATGCGTATGTGTGTGTATTATATACAGATATAGAATATTACATATAATATATATAATATTCTCTTTTTTACCCTTTTCCCTGTCACATTTTAGTCACGTGTTGTTTTTCCACTTCTCTCTCACTATTTTTTGAGTTTGATTTTCATGCGTTATTTCTGACATTTCTCATATGTGTATTATATGGTTTATAAGACGTATATACTATCTGTCATCGCGCGCGGTGACAGGTTGTGTTCACTGACAACACGTTAAATAAAAATAACAATAGCGTGCGCGTAGCGCGCGCCTGTGTTGTGCTAGTTTTCACAAAGAAGATGTTGCGTTTATATTAATATATTGCACCATTCTGTTGTCAGTCTTCTAAATCTGAAATAATTTTTGTATTTTATACGTGTATAAGTTAACGTATGAATTTTTACTATGTATATAATTTGAACGTATATAGCGCCCGTGATGTTATTGTCACCGCGCGAAACTAACAGCATTAACAAACACAACATTTACTTTGAAGAGCAGAACACACAGATTAACAAAAAGCGCTTCTGGTAAAATTTTCGTGATTTTAAAACTGCACAGAAAAATTGCACTTTGTGTATAACGTGTGTGTGTGTTTCTCACATTTAATTGCACAAATTACATATTACAATATAAATTTTTAATAATACAAGATACCTCACTAACAATAAGAATAATCGTCGAATTGTAACAACGTAGCCACGTCTCTGTAATATGTTTCGATCGACTCTGATCAATCAATGTAAGAAAAAAAGCAGTTAACAATTTTCCGACATTAGAAAAGGTGGATGAGAAGAAGATAAAAAGAAGACCGAGGAAAGTTAAAAAGGGAAAAGGAAAGAAGGAGGATATCAATTCGGCTGCTAAACCTACGACGATAAGTCTGAGTATGATGCACGATTCCAGTATATCGTCTAGCGAAGATGAAGGATACGACGATATCAGAGAGCAAGATTCCGCTGCCGGTAGTGACGTTCTTGAAAAATCCAGAGAACCGAGCACCGCACTTACCGGTCAGCTTACTCTGTTACGTTTTGCGCTAATTATATTTTATTTTCTTCGAAGAACTATGTAATTGAAGACACGATAATTCATTGATTTGCAGACAGTTCCGATTTTGCGCCACTGCCTGGAGAAGAAGATAAATATATTCTCACCAAGGTTAGAAAATAAATTTAAAAAATTTGCTTCCCGCGTAATCGCACTTCAGAACTTTTGTTTTTGTTTTCCACACAATTGCTCTCAGTTTAACTGTATCGTTTTGATCTCACGGATGTTATTTGAAATGTTAATTGAGAATCCACAGTTTAATTAAGTTCGTTTTTTTCTCTTTTCACTTCTGGAAAGAGAACTCGATTATTAAGTCACGGCTAAATCAAATCATCGAGTGAAACCGAACCGTAAAACAACGCGCAATTGCAGAAAATAGTGGAGAAAGTTCGCGAGGTACCGGTGCTTCACATGATATGCGGCCATATCGACGGTAGCAGAATCGATCTGCCGGACACCACGTTCTTTTACTTTATGCGCACCAGCGACGAGGGTGTACCCAGCTTCGACACCTACGAGGAGTGTCTAGACGAGATGCCGAGTTACATAGTGGTCGGTTCGCTCGGCAGGAAATTTCTAGCTTCTTTCAACAGCATGCTGGTCGAAGTAAGAATCTGTTTAGTCAATACAATTTGCGACCGATTCGGTTAACGATCCTTTCACCGTGTCGATCGTGTCGCAACAATTCTTCTTTCGCAATCGCATCCCGATATTGAAATTGTTATTTCTTTAAAGAAATTCAATTATTTCTTTTACGTTTAGTTTATTTTTTTTTTTTCAAAAGTATATTTTATATTTTTTTAAACTGTATTTTAAAAGTACACATTAAATTCTCAATAAATTGCGATACGAAGAAGTATTTATATAATTTAAAGAAAGTAGAGAGAAAACTGATATATATCTCTCGAAATATCTATACGTAATAAATGTAATACTGACAGGTATTTAGGCCATTGGTGGAAAATCAATTCAGAGGCCCGGATTTTGCCGAGCGATGGAAAATAGAGAAGACGATGGACGAGCCGTCGTCTGTCGCACGACTGGCATCCGCCGCGCTAACGGAAGGCGAAGAAGTAAAATCAAAATTATTTGAGAAAACATGATTAAAAAAAAAAAAAAAACCGCAAATTATATCTATGCGTGTAACTCGGTACATGACAAACATGTACGATAAATATCTTACTTTTTATGTTGTGTTAAAGAGCGTAACAAGAAAACCATCCGGTTTCCGAAGAAAAGCTTCCGAATCTCGCATGATTTCCGCAACCCTCGCGCAAGACGAAGCGGACGAATTAGAAGAGAAGATGTCGATAGAAGACGACAGAAAATCGCGCACGTCGAAATCGAAATCTGTTAGCACGATTAGTTTGAAGGAAATGAAGAAGCCGATGACCGAGCAGTGCAAGAAAGATATTTTATATCATCTCGACAATCTGATCAAAAGCGTGGAATGGTTAGCATTGTTTTCTGAAACAGAATATATAATTACCGCATAACTACATATTTTTCATTATTTTTCTCTCATTTCTATTTGATATAGTTGTGCAATTTTAATTTTACTGATGCAGGACGCTGGAACACATTGAAAGCGACATCTTACTGACGATGCCAAAGATACCAGAGCTGAGCGATCCAGCAATGACAGACGAGATGTTATTGAAAAATAAGGATATCGTCGAACAAATGGAACAAGAAGTCATGTTGTGGGAGAAACACATACAGAAGGCAAAATAATTCCACATTTCTCTGTTTTCACGCGCTGTTCTTTCGCGCAGTCCTCTACAAATTTTTCAAAACTATTGCGAACACAGACGACATCTCAACACATATTTTAAAGATGCCCAATTGTTATATAATAAGATTTTAACATTTGCTCAGATGATGGAGTCGTACAAGAATAAAATCCCTTCGGAAAAAGGACCAATGGGAGAGTATCAGTACTGGCAGGAGTGCGAAACTGGATTGACAATTCTAGTGGAACAATTGAAGTTGCCAATTGTTAAGAAAATCCTCGCACTTCTAGAACAAGCGCTCTCGCCGATCGCCTCGAGTTTTCAGTACTTTCAGAAAGAGCTCTGGAAACAGTACGTCGAAGCCAGAGACAATAATAAGTTTATTCAGACGCTGCTAAGATACTTTCAGGTAATCATGCAAAACTTGTTGAATAACTTAAGTATTTTGTTTGTCAACTATCGGTGATTTTCCAACGCTGCAGTTGATGAGCAAACCGGATTCGTTTCAATCTGTAACGGAGTCCATGCCCGCTCTGATGGAAGGACTGCGAATGCTCTGGGTTCTGTCGAGTTACTACTGCCACGAGGATAAGATGACGTCGCTGATGGAGCGGATAACGTGGGAACTCTGTCAGAATGTCAGAAAAAATTTGTCAATCGTGTCGCTGTTCAAAAAACCTCTGGAAGAAATTTTGCAGAAGACGAGCATGGCCAGCACGATGATGCGACAGTGGAAACGTTCGTATCTGAAGACCCGAATGGACATCGAGCTGTTCGGAAAGAGTCAGCGCTGGGAATTCGATCAGAAGCGCCTGTTTCAGGATACGGAATACATTGCCGAGGTGTGCAGCGATCTGTACAAGATCGCCGGCGTGCTGCAGGATTTCTACAACATCTTCGGCTCCGAGCTGAAGTCCATCATAAACGATCCGGCGCAAATCGACGCTGTGGTGAAGAGAGTGGACGCGCTGGTGGTGCCGATTGAGAGTGCCGACTTTGACGTTTTCAACGTGTTCAACAAGGAAAACTGGGAGGCGCTGACCAAGTGGTTCTACGAGGAGGTAACCTATCTTGAGGACCAGGCCAAGTTCTACATCGACGAGTGCTTCGCGGTGCTGATCAGCGCCGAGAACGCGCTGGAGATGTTGCTCAAGTTCAAGAACATCAAGACTCGCGCTGCCATACAGCAGCAATTGCTCCGAAAGTTCGACGTGATCATGCAACAGTTCAGCAAGGAGATCAACACCGTGGAAGACATCTATCAACGAAACAAACGATATCCGCCGTTGCTGACCTATCACTCACCAATGGCGGGAGCGATCTATTGGGTGAGACAACTGTTTCACAGACTTCGCAGACCGGTACTGATCTTTCAACAGATCCGCGAACTGAAGCACAGCGAGACGAAGCTGATCGCGTTCGGTCAGTATCTGGAAATCGCGAAGCAGATGAAAGACTTCGAGGAGAACAAGTTCAACACGTGGCTTGAGAAAGCTTTGTCGACGGTGACCAATTTCATGAAGAAGAGCGTGGTGAGGATTGGGCGCGCGGATCGAAATAATTCGAATGATTACCGGATCTTCTCGGAGGAGCAGCAGAGCGGTAAAAACGTTCAGCTGATTCATCTGGCGTCGAAGACGAGGATCAATAATGTGGATTCTATCTTATCGACTCAAGAATCTCTGAAACGTAATAACATAACATCGAAACCCAGCGTGGAAACAGCACATTCCGTGTCTTCTAGAAACGTCATTGCGCAATCATGTCCGGATGCAAGGACCGACACCAAAGGATCTTCACTCAAAAACGGCAAAACCTCCATTCTTTCTTCCGACAAGCACGTAACCCGCTCGAAGGCCGCCTGTACGGAATTTACGAGCGACGCCATTCTGATGGAATGTCAACTGCGTTTTGAATTGAATTTCGACTGGGAGATCTTCGAGGTTATCAGAGAGGCGGAACTTATGGAGCAATTGGGTTTCGAGCTGCCGTTCGCTCTCCGAGACATCGGCGTTCAGAAGAACAGATTGAGAACGGACATCGACGTCACCGAGGGAATGATCAATCAGTACAATCACATTCTGGACACGTTGGACGAGGCGAATGTGGAATTGCTGAAGAAACTTCTACAGGACGTCGAGAAACACATTCAGCCCGGAGTTACGCGATTCACTTGGAATTCTCTGAGTATCTCGGATTACGCGGCATCTTGCCACGCGGTGCTGAAGAATCTAAACTCCATCGTCGATCAGGTCAATCAAATGGAAATCGATCTTGACAATCAAATAAAGTCCGAATTAGAATTGTACAATCTGTTTTCCACGAAGAAAGAGATCGCGGAGTCGGAAGTTCTCTTGCCGTGCAAGGTTTCTATATCGAAAATAATTTATTTCATTTTTTTTTTTTTTTTT